AAGTGAAGCTTGTCCCCTACTTTACACCATGCATAGAAATCAATCCCAGATGGATTGTAGAAAAATAAAATACAGCTTCCAGAAAAAAGAAATCATATAATATCTTCATGACCTTGAGGGCAGGCAAAGACTTCTTTAAAACAAGTCATAAAAGCAATAACCATAAAGAAAGCTAACAAATGGAACATGAAAATCAATAACTTCTATTCATCAAAAGACACCAATAAGAGACAGTGAAAGGCAAACCACAGAATGGGAGAAGATAATTGCAATACATATCTGACATGTACCAGTGTCCTGAATACGTCAAGAATGAGTCAGTAAGAAACAGTTGCCCCACCAAAAGAAAAAAAAAAACAAAAAACCACCAACAAAAAAAACACAAAAGGAAAAAAAGCAAGACTCTTAAGACTCTTACATAGGTACTTTACAAAAGAGGATATCTAACTGGCCAATAAACATGAAACATGTTTAATTTCATTAGTCATCAAGGAAATACAATTAAAACCACAATGAGATCCTCCTGTATACCTGCCAGAATGTCTAAAATTAAAGACAGACGATAGTAAGTGCAGAAAAAGATTCGGAGCAACTGGAACTCTCATATATTGCTGGTAGTCATGTGAATTTTTTAAAAAATTGATACATAATTCACATACCATAATTCACTCTTTTGAAGTGTACATGTCAATTTTTAGTATATTCACAAGACTGTGCAACCACCATCCCTATATACTTCTAGAACATTTTCATCACCCTCAAAAGAAACTCTATACCTAATAGCAGTCACTCCTCATTTCCCTCTCCCCTGGGAACCACTAATCCACTTTCTGCCTCAATGGATTTGCCTATTCTGGACATTTCATAGAAATGGAATCATACAGTCCAATGTGACTTTTTGTGACTGGCTTCTTTTACTTAACGTTTTCAAGGTTCATCCATGTAGCAATACTTTATTCCTTTCTATAGCTGAAAAATATTCCACTGTATGGATATGCCACATTTTCCTTATCTATTTGTCTGTTGATAGACATTTGGGTTGTTTCCACATTTTGGCTATTATGAATAATGCTGCTCTAAACATTTGTATCCAAGCGTATGTGAGGACATATGTTCTTATTTCTGTTGGGTATACATCTAGGAGTGGAATTTCTGGGTCATATGGTAACTCTATGCTTAATCTTATGAGGAACCACCAGTTTTCCAAAGTGGTCTCACCATTTTACATTCCCACCAGCAACGTCTGGGGGTTCTAATTTCCCCACATTTCACCAACACTTATTTTTTATTTTGGCTGTGAAGTGGTATCTCATTGTGGTATTGATTTGCATTTCCCCAATTACTAATGATATCAAGCATCTTTTCATGTGGCTGTCATTTGTCTATCTTCTTCGGAGAAATGTCTATTCAAATCCTTTGCCCATTTTAACATTGCGTTGTCTTACTATTGAGTTGTAAGAGTTCTTTATATATTCTGGATACTAGACTCTCATCAGATATATAATTTGCACATATTTCTTCCCAGGAATGAGAATTCTTATAAACACTTTGGAGAAACTGTTTGGCATTATCTACTAAAGCTGCATACACACATAGCCTATGGACTCAGCAATCCACGACTACATATATACCCAAAAGAAATGAGAACATGTTTCCCACAAGACACATTCGAGAATATTCATAACAACACAATTGATAATAGTAATTGAAAATAAATCTTGTGGTAGGCTGAAAAGTAGGCCCCCAAAGATGTCCGTGTCCTAATCCTTGGAACCTGTGAATGTTATCTTACTTGGCAAAGGGACTTTGCAGATGTTAGGATTTTGAGAGGGAGGAATTAGACTTCCAGTGCCCAGTGCAGCAAGTAAGGATTTTGGAAGTTATCTCGCCATCCTAACAAAAGCTGAACAAGCTAAAAAATCAACAACTCTTCTTAGACCTGTCAGAGAAGTGAGGTCACAGGGCCAAAAGCTGTCCCCAACATTGGAGAGACAGGCAGGCGACACAAGAGAATTACAACTTACTGAAGCAGAAACTCCCAAGCAGAAACCTCTGAGGGAGACAGTATGGGGGTAGGAAAGCCTGAAGTGTAACTGACAAATTGCTGGAGTCTCAGAGTGGACAAGTCAGTTAAAAACCCCCAGTCATGGGGGATCTCCACACTTTTGTGAGTTTTACCTTCAGCTCTACCAGGTTCTCAAAGGGAATATCACAGAAAAATCCCCTGGTGCTTCTGGCAGGGGGAGGAAAGCAACCATTTTGAAATATGTCAGAGTACTCTGTTTTTAAGGAGGTCTGCCCTGAAGAGAAACTATTTTACCAGAACCTAACCTATTGGAATTTCATCAAGAGCCTAAGCAACCTGGTGGAAGGGAAATACCCAACTCCAGCTCCCTCTAGCCTTCCACGTGGGGGAAGGGAAATCAGCCCACTCTAGTCATCCTGTCCCACCAGGCAGAAGTGTGTACGGGAGAGGGGGGTGACTGAGAAGCACTTGTGAAGTTCTCAGCCCAGGGGCACAGGCTCATTGAGACCTAATCCCAGGACTATAGAATGCGTCCCCTCCCTTCCCCACTTTATTATCATATTACTAAAGGCCTATTCACTGGAGTTCCTTTTTCACTGGAGTTCCTTTTATCCAGCACATCATGTTTAGCTATCAACAGAAAACTACAAGGCACAGTAAAAGGCAAAAACCACAGTTCTAAGAGACAAGGCAAGCATCAGAATCAGATTCAGATATGGCAGAGATTGTTGGAATTATAAGACCGTGAATTTAAAACAATTATGATTAATATGCTAACGGCTCTAACAGAAAAAGTAGACAATACGCAATAACAGGTGAGTACTATAAGCAGAAAGATGGAAATTCTTTTTTTTTTTTTTTTTTTAAAGATTTTATTTATTTAATTTTTTCCCCCCAAAGCCCCAGTAGATAGTTGTATGTCATAGCTGCACATCCTTCTAGTTGCAAGATGGAAATTCTAAGACAGAATAAAAAAGAAATGCCAGAGATTAAAAAAAAACAAAAAAACACACAACGAAACCCTAACAGAAGTGAAGAATGCCTTCCACGGGCTCACTAGTTGACTGGACATGGCGGGGCAAAGAATCTCTGAGCTAGAGGATACATCAATAGAAATTTCCAAAACTAAAAAGCAATGAGCAAAAAAGACTGAAAAGAAAAAGAAAAAAAAGGAACAGAATATCCAAAAACTGGGACAACTACAAAAGATGTAACATACACATAATGGGAATACCAGGAGAAGGGAGAAAGGGACGGAAGAAATATTTGAAGCAATCATGACTAAGAATTTCCCGAAATTAACGTGAGACACTAAACCACAGATCCAGGAAATTCACAGAACAGTAAGCAGGATAGATGCTCCCAAAACTACACCTAGGCATATCATATTCAAACTGCATAAAATCAAAGATAAAAAGTCTTGAAAGAAGCCAAAGGAAAAAACCACCTATGGAGGAGTAAAGATAACTATTATATCCAATTTCTCTTCAGAAACCATGCAAACAAGGAGAGTGTGAAGTGTTGAGGGAGCTTATACGGGATTACTCAGATAGGCTCAATTCAATGACACGGATCCTGATATGAGGGAGGCAGCAGCATCAGAGTGAGAAACAATATGATGGAAGCAGACAGCTGAAGATGCTATGCTGTTGCCTTTGAAGATGGAGAGGGGGCCATAAACCAAGGAATGTAGGCAGCCTCTAAAAGCTAGAAGGGAAGGAAACAGATGCTCTCTGGAGCCTCCAAAAGAAACCACCACTGCTGACACCTGAACTTTAGCCCAGTAAGACTGATTTTGGACTTCAGACCTCCAGAATGATAAGACAATAAATTTGTAGTTTTAAACCATTAAACTTTGGTAATTTGTTACAGCAGAATAGGTAACTAATATACACCCATCAATAGCATAATGGATAAATTACAGTATATTTGCACAACGGAATATTATAGTAAAATGAGAATGAATAACTATTGCTATATGCAACAAACCAGATGAACTATAGACCTAATACTGAAAGAAGCCTGGCATAAAAAGAATATAAACTCTAAGATACCATTTATATAAAGCTTAAAAATAAGCAAAATTTATCTATGGCTTTGGAAATTAAGACAGTGGTTAATTGATGGGTGGAGATACTGATTGAGGGGTCACAGTAAGCCTCTGGGGTGCTGGTAATGTTCTCTTACTTGATTTTGGTCCTGATTATATGTGGTCTCTTTGTGATATTTCAAACCGTACACCTGTAACTTATACACTTTTCTGTATTGAATACTTCAATAAAAAGTGCTTAAAAACAAAAACGTGTAAGTAGTTTCAAAACAAATTTCCTCGCAAAAATTGGTACAAAAGTAAGTTTAAGGTCTAAATATGGTAAACAGAAGGTTTTCAGATTAGTTAAAACTGAATCCCATGTAAAGTGAACAATTACAGTAATTTCAGATAACAACTCAATTAATTTCAAGGATTTTCTAGTACATCTCCAATGTCACACAGAAAAAATGATGAGTTGGCCTAGACACGCAAGCACAGCAGACATATCAAAGCATACCATGATGCAGTCTGCAATGTTCTTTCTTTCATTAGTTTCACTTACTTCATCAAGTATTGGTTTAGAAAAATTGGTCTTTACAACACCATGATTGCAAAACCCTTTCAGACTAAAGATTTTACCAATGGCATTTTTCATCTCATATGGTATCAAACAAAATGATTTTACAAATTAATTTTTCAATGCCCATGAACACCCTAAGTTTTTCCCACATTGAAACAAATTATTACCATCTCATATATTTTCAGCATTTATATTCAACTATTAGAAGCCAAATACATAAAACTAAACAGATTTTAAAGTTCTAACAAAAGGATTACATTAGATAGTAGAGGTATTGCCTTCATTTTGTTGAAAAAAATCTTTGAAATATATATATTTTAAAGTAATAAAAAAGAGCAATTTAAAGGGCAGTTATTTTTTTACAATTATCTAAAATGACTCAATAGGTCAATGTGCATGTGTTTTTAGCTGAAATTCAATAAGATCAAATTGTTCTTATGAAGGTTCTAAAACAAGCACTGAAAACTGAGTACTGACAAGATGGAACTACTAACAGGTGTTCTCACCTGTTAGAGAGTAGCTATGTGTCAGTGCATTTGCCAAGCTTTTAAATAGCTTCTGCCCATTAAATAATGATAAAAGGCTATATTTTTATCTACTAGGAAGGCTGACATACAATCCTGCAGTTCTAGACATGCCTGTGGGGAAGACGTGTTGATCAAGGTAAACTCCCAGTTTAACGAAACTTACAGGATAGTGAATCTCATGTACTCACTTGTCTCTTGGAAAGAAGAAAGATCAGAATGCTTAATAATCCTATTAAACCAAACACTTCAAAATACTAACAAATCTTACTATCTGATAAATACAAATTTAAATAGAATGCAACAAGTTATTTAAACCTGAATGCAGAGAATAAATACTTTATTAACTGATTACAGTTGAAAGTCACAAACAAAAAAGGGGTATATTAAGGCAGAGCCATATATATATATAGAGAGAGAAAGATGCAGATACATCTCTCTATATATATAGACAAATCCAAAGACTGTTAGCTCTTTACATTTTAATAACCTCTGCATTTTTCTTTCACACATTTAGGCAGTGTGCTTTCTTTTCTTCTCAGTTAAGGAAACAAATCTTGGTCAATATTTCTAAATCGTATTTTGATGACAATGTATAGGATCATGGATTGAGACAATGACTAGTGTATCAAATGCTATCTGATAGTTTTCTCAGCATATTCCATGTGTGGTGGTACATTGACATTGGTGTGGAAAATCTGACGTTGATCATTTTTTCTTTTCCAGAAAAACTCATAATTTTTAAAAATGATTTTAAGTCTTAACTAAAATAAGCTTGGACTTCCAAGTCAGTCAAATGCCCAAAGCATATTACTTGCTGCCCTTTCCTAAACCATATGTTTTAAACAGCCTTTAGAATATGATCTGATGGCTGTATTTCAGATCTATAAATTTTTAGTTTTTCAAAATCCAAAATTACTTCCTTATGCAAAGTGGCAATGTAAACAGCAATCTTACATAGTGTAGAACAATTTTCTTCTATATAGCTCCCTTTTATGAAAATGGGCAACCACACACACAACAAAGACATAAATTTAGTCCATCTGAAAAAGCACTCCAGCTCCCTAATTCCACTTTTGAAGGAAAAGGCAGAGGCAAGTTTACATTATCCCAGAAAACTGAATAAATGGCTTTATTTGGTATCTTCAAGAAGCTTCTCCTTCCGTAGGAGATGCAGGTGTTGTAGAAGAAACTGTAACTGGTTTTCGTGCAATTCTGTCAAGTTCCGCATGAACATCTGATAGGACGGGCTTCTGGCCTACATTGAAGAAAAAGAAACAAGATTTAGATATAAGTCAAATTATCTTTTTCACCAATCTCTCTTTATTTAAAAATCGCCAATGCTTTAACTTTATCTAGCATACTAAGTTATATAAATATCTTTAATTTAAAAAGAAATGCCCTCATTTTAAATCGTGGGGTCTGTTATCAAATGGAAGCAAAACTAGCATCCATCATTTAATCTCATAAAGATCTTTTTTTAAAGATTTTATTTATTTTATTTCTTCCCCCCAAAGCCCCAGTAGATAGTTGTATGTCATAGCTGCACATCCTTCTAGTTGCTGTATGTGGGACTCGGCCTCAGGATGGAC